TGTACGCGGATCACGTGAGATTTCACCCGTGTCATCCCTATATAGAGAGTCTACCGACTCTCTAATAGATGCATATAGACAGGTATGTATGTATGACCTAACCCACCAATCTGAGCTTCCTATGTAAGAGCAGTGTCACATATATTCACACAACATGTACACTGACACCATTCCTATGAGATACTGTATGTGCATTCTACCTACATACATATAGCTTCTGGCATCCATTGCGGTAGGTTGTACGAGAGCATGCATAATTAGCTCTTAAACTTCTTGGAAAGAGGGCAGAATGTAATACACTATATATACAAACAGAAGCATACGATATACCACTGCAGCTTTATTCCGCAGTACAGCCACTTCCTGACTAATGCAAAGGGCACTACTATTACACATACATGACATGCAGTGCAGTGAAGACATGCAGTCTCGACAGACTTCTCGACAGCACTAAGATTACAGAGCACACACAGTCAGTCACTAGGGGAGTTCAAAGTTTACTTGTAGCAATAGCACAGTCGCTGGGGCTGCATAGCGTACTGTGTGCTTGCTAACACTGAGCCGACATCAGTACACAGTATTTTATCAAGATGAGGCAAGACAAATTGCGAACATCTACAAGACTCCGGGTAGCATTCTTGGTTAAATCTTTACTTCTCCCCTCTCTCTCTCTCTTCTCTTTCCTCATCTCTCCTCTTTCCTACTTTTAAGATCAATACCTCACTACACAAGACAAGAGACTCATGTAAACCAGACCACTAACACGAGTACGCTAAGACGCGAACAAAGAAACACGGAGCTCATAACGCTGCTCAGAGTGCACGACGACTATTTGAGACGTGGCGGAGACGAAATCTTCCAGTTGGAGGGCGTGGATCGCCGGCCAGCCCGTGGCAATAGATAGTATTACCACATCTAGACGTACCTGCAAGCTCCTTGCGCGCATTCTCCATGGACGACGCCATGTCACACGGCCCAGTTCCGTCTCTCTGCTTCTCTTCTCAGCTCAGATCACCAGGGAAGATCAAGGAAGACGTCGCAATGTGGGCGATGGATCGCTACCTGCGTTCCATCTGATGCCGCTCACAGGATGTTAGTTATACCAAAATCACCACGCATGCGCAGTTGTAACCTCCTCTCTCTAGCTCTGTCGATGTCATCAAATACTGCCCCCGGCTAAAGCCCTACAAGGAGCAATCCCTATTATCCTCCGACCACTCTGCCTTGTGAAGACCTAAATGAAATTCAAACGGGATTGCAAACAGGCGTGGCTGCACTACGACCTGCAACATACTAATGGAGTATATACCATACTAATCCATACATACTAAACTTATCATTTCAGGGCTCAAATGCTACCATTCCACAGATTTACACAAGTATAAAATATTATTATCAAAATAGCATGGACTTCACTGGCCACCAGTTTGTAGATCTAGTGATAGACAAGCAGAGCAATGATATAAAGAAGAAACACTATCACTCTGTAAAATTACCTGGAGATTAAGGAAGATATTTCTCCTTCAGTTTTTGGATCAGTACATCTTTCCCCTCTACACGATCAAGGGCATTTATAACTTTCTCCCATGAAGCGTTAGGGTCTTTTTCCAGCCAAATGTTCAATGCTCGGTGCATACGGTCGGTGGCTTGGTCAGTCTGCTCCTCTATCTTCAATAGTTTGTTGAAGTCAATCTCAAGTTGTACTGCCAGAGACTTAATTTCACTCCACGTCAGTTTCCCCAACTCATTAGACAAGTCAGCCAACTTTGGCTTGACATTAAACGATACTGTGGTATCCACAGATCTGGGACCTTGTATAACAGTAGAATAGTGTGAACATAGATTTCTACTGTATCGCAAGCAACGTAATCGAATCTTACTAGAGGGAGTACTTGATGGCAGAGTAGGCTCTAAAAAGAAAAGACTAAGATCGTTTAGACCATCAGTAAGGGTAAACTGCCACTCACTAGTTAGACATGTCGTTGGGGAGGTCACAGTTAAGAAATTGCACTGCTCTTTAGCTCCCTTGATGAGTACTGTCTGAACCAGATGCTTTGGAGCTTCCTCATTCTCGCACCAGACTTGCACTTGACATGTACACAGCTCCTGGCGAGTACTATACCTATCAACATCCCGCTTGAAAACCTGTAAGTCATCTGCAAAATAATCTACGATTCTAAGGCATAATACAATAGCACCTCAAGTGGGGTTAGTTTCTTTATATTCCATCCATTTCCGCAGCTCTCTTGAATTTCAAGGCTGACTTCATCTTCTTGGAACTTGAAATTAGAAAAAGGCCCTCGCTTATAATTTCCATTTACTCTCTTTGAAATCTGATCTTCAACCCTCTTATAGAGAAAATGGGCAGTAAAAATCATATTATCTCAATTAAACTTACCTTAGCCAATGCACTGAGATTTTGAATAATGAAGAACTCAAAATTAAAATGGCAATAGAGCATCTCTGTATAGTAAATGTTAGCAGAATATTCAATTTCATTAGAGGAATGGGGAAGCAAGGATCGAAAATGCTTCTTCATAAAGGTAGAAAAACGGGAGAAGGAATGCAACTTTATCACTGCATAGCCTTTCACTGAGCTGAAATCGCCCCCTGGAACATAATTGAATCTGTTGGAGTTCGTATTCGCTCGAACAATGCTCAAGTTATCAAGAGCACTTGCTGCAGCACAGTGCTCCCATTCAGAGTGATGCTGACGTAGATCCTTTATTGGGTCGTGGCTGAAGGAATAAACTGCGCTAACAAGGACACCATTCTCGGTAACTGAAACTCTCCTGATAGTCC